GGTTTACAATTTATTGCTTTTGTGGTCCATCTTTGTTTGGGTTCCCCTATCAAACTGAATTTAGCTGAGGAATGGTGACTGCAGAGGCCGATGGGATGTTTCGGCGTAACTAACAAGAGTTGTAAGAACAGTGTGTGTTGCTGATTCCTCCATGAAATATACACACCTTCATATCTAAATCGTCTACTAGTCAAGGTAATGAGTAAATAGACATTTTAAAGTAGTTTTTGTCGTGGACACTCCGCACGGATATTCCTGGTAGAGTTTTGTGTCTATCCTTATCCAGTATAATGGTTTAACCAAACGAGCCCTACTGACCATTAAGCCTCCATCACATAACTATTACTTTCTCCTCCTCAAACCTCAATCTTAATAGAATAACATAATGGCTAGCGTTAGGAACTTAAGTGCTTATCATAATCCAAAATGTAGTTCAAAATCTCTCGTTATGTTGGTGGCCTACATTCGAATGAAGTAGCATGGCGGATGGCACAGTGGATTCAATAAACATTAATTTCCAGAAATGCAGGAATTCCTCCTTTCTCTGAAGTTCATGATATCTTTGTCTTGTTCTCTATTGTTGCGAGGTGGTTCACCAATGTAAAAACTCTTATGACAGTTTAAGGTTAACGGAATCCCTGCGTAAAACCTCTGTTTAATTTACTGACACGATGTGAGGTGGAACAACCGAAAGCATGACTATCTAATGACTCGTGCATAGAGCAACACTGAAACTGTCTGGTGTTGATTTTGTCAAGGACTAAAATCTGGATGCGGATTTTCAAAAGGTTGAAGACCATTTTTCCTAATCCGATTCTAATTTTATAATTTTGATAGTAATTAATATTCAATTATGAATGACATAAAATTATATTACACTGTAATCACGTGTACAGTTCTGTATACCAACATCTTAGTTTATCTGTGTACAGCTGATGACGTCATACTGTGCTGTCTTTTCCACTGGCAACCCAGTTTGTGCCGTGGTTCATATCTCTTAGTATTCCTCTATGATTGTCCCGAAAAGCTCCTACCACGGGATTTACTATTAATATCATCTACTTATACTGGACAAACAATCTCTGTCACAGAACTGTACTATGCAGACGGGTTTCCGCTGTAATGTATGAATAATCAAATTGTGTAACGGTTCCTTAAAGATTTGTCTTTTCTCCTTTAATGTTGTCCCCAGATAGCTCGTTCCTTGTTGAGATCGTTTATATTTAGGGTCCTAAGATTATACTCCTTGAGCGGAATACGACAGACTTATATAATACAATTTATACATAATTATATAAGTCAACGAATATATACACATTAAAAGTTTTCCACTATTATTTATTAATTCACTGCTATCAAACCTTCTCAATGTGCAATTTTCACCTAAAAAAAATCTTGTATGTTCAAGAAATGTTATGAAATAGTTTTACAATATATCTCTAGCGGCGTGGTATATATTCGACCACCAGTATACCCGACGTGGTATATCCGACCACCAGTATACCTGACGTGGTATATCCAACCACCAGTATACCCGACATGGTATATATCCGACCACCAGTATACCCGACGTGGTATATCCGACCACCAGTATACCTGGCGTGGTATATATCCGACCACCAGTATACCTGACGTGGTCTATATCCGACCACCAGTATACCTGGCGTGGTATATATCCGACCACAAGTATACCCGACGTGGTATATCCGACCACCAGTATACCTGACGTGGTATATCCAACCACCAGTATACTCGAGGTGGTATATATCCTACCACCAATATACCCGGTGTGGTCTATATCCTATCACCAGTATACCCGACGTGGTATATCTCCTAGCACCAGTATACCTGGCGTGGTATATATCCGACCACCAGTATACCCGACGTGGTATATCCGACCACCAGTATACCTGACGTGGTATATCCAACCACCAGTATACTCGAGGTGGTATATATCCTACCACCAATATACCCGGTGTGGTCTATATCCTATCACCAGTATACCCGACGTGGTATATCTCCTAGCACCAGTATACCTGGCGTGGTATATATCCGACCACCAGTATACCCGACATGGTATATATCCGACCACCAGTATACCCGACGTGGTATATATCCGACCACCAGTATACCCGACATGGTATATATCCGACCACCAGTATACCTGGCATGGTATATCCGACCACCAGTATACCCGACGTGGTCTATATCCGACCACCAGTATACCCGACATGGTATATATCCGACCACAAGTATACCCGACGTGGTCTATATCCGACCACCAGTATACCCGACATGGTCTATATCCGACCACCAGTATACCCGACGTGATCTATATCCGACCACCAGTATACCCGACATGGTATATATCCGACCACAAGTATACCCGACGTGGTCTATATCCGACCACCAGTATACCCGACATGGTATATATCCGACCACCAGTATACCCGACATGGTATATATCCGACCACAAGTATACCCGACGTGGTCTATATCCGACCACCAGAATACCCGACATGGTATATATCCGACCACAAGTATACCCGACGTGGTCTATATCCGACCACAAGTATACCCGATGTGGTCTATATCCGACCACTACTACACCCGACGTGGTATATACCCGACCACCAGTATACCTGGCATGGGATATCCGACCACCAGTATACCCGACGTGGTATATATCCGACCACAAGTATACCCGACATGGTATATATCCGACCACCAGTATACCCGACGTGGTCTATATCCGACCACCAGTATACCCGACGTGGTCTATATCCGACCACTACTACACCCGACGTGGTATATACCCGACCACCAGTATTCCTGGCGTGATCTATATCCGACCACCCGTATACCTGGCATGGTATATCCGACCACCAGTATACCCGATGTGGTCTATATCCGACCATCAGTATACCTAACGTGGTATATATCCGACCACTACTACACCCGACGTGGTATATACCCGACCTCCAGTATTCCTTGCGTGCAATATATCGGACCACCCGTATAACCGGCGTGGTATATCCGACCACCAGTATACCCGACGTGGTATATCCGACCACCAGTATACCAGACGTGGTATATCCGACCACCAGTATACCCGGTGAGGTCTATATCCTATCACCAGTATACCCGACGTGGTATATCTCCTACCACCAGTGTACCTGGTGTGGTATATATCTGACCACAAGTATACCCGACGTGGTATATATCCGACCACCAGTATACCCGACGTGGTATATATCCTATCACCAGTATACCCGACGTGGTATATATCCAACCACCAGTATACCAGACGTGGTCTATATCCGACCACCAGTATACTCGACGTGATCTATATCCGACCACCAGTATACCTGGCGTGGTATATATCCGACCACAAGTATACCTGACGTGGTCTATATCCGACCACCAGTATTACCGGCGTGGTCTATATCCGACCACCAGTATACCTTGCGTGGTATATATCCGACCACAAGTATACCCGACAACTTTGTGCAAAACGTTGATTTACTTACTAAGTGTTAGTAATCCTATTCTTCAACTGAACTAGCACACTTACAATACAAAGCCTTTCTCTAGATGAAACAAGTGTATCATCCTGATAATGAGTTATTAAATGTTAATCATTAATTACATTGAGTGTGGTACACGGAACATATTCTACTGTTTGTATTTGTTGTTTCAGCGCTTTAAGATAGTTACAATGAACATATGATGTTACAAGGTACATTGTATGATGATGTTCGTGTTTAATATTACGATGTGCTACATTGAACTACAACCAATTATATAAAAAAAAAATCTAGGCAAAGATGCAGATCTGATTTGATTTCAAACTTCGGTACTTTCATTGCTCAAAGTCAATGATAGTTCTTACAAACTTGTACTGTGTGATGTCCTAATCATTAGTGAATATACATTCACGGACCTTTACCTTTTTCCCATATATTAAAAGTACACCAGTATTGTACCATCAAGGAGCTTGACACTCTTTCATTAAGCAGTCAGGGGGATAAGTTGTATTCTCTATCTAATTAAATCAAAATTGTGTACTTTTTAGGAAAGCTTGTGTTTAAGATAAGTTGAGGTCAAGATAGTTGATTAAAGACCAGAGGGTATTCCTTGTCAATAACGCTTAACCATAGGAGCCTAGACAAGCTGACTATAGCCATGATATGAATCTTTAAATCGTTTGAAGTAAAAATGTTTTATTTTGTAATATAAAATATAACTAGGTTGGGTTTTTATCGAATGAGGAGTTTAATACCCAGATCTTATTCTATGGTAGTACTGCCATTGACTTGAAACAAAGATAAAAACCACTGACAGAATTAACAGAAGACATCATTACGATCCTTGCTCTTATTAAAAAATTTGAAATACGATCGCTATTCACCGGAGCAATTAAGCCATCAGATGGCGTTGGATATAAAAGACCCAGCCTAACCAGCATCCTGGCCATCCTGACGCGGCAGGCCGTTACAGCAGACGACGGAGAGGCGGGTAGACCATACCAGTACCAGATCGCCGCTGGAAGTCCACAATTACATACGGACTGCATTGTGCGGCCTCTCATCTTGGCCTAATTGTCTTTTTAATGTTGTGCATGTGTCGAGATTTTCCTAATTGCCGCTTGATTTTATATTTATTCACGAATGCTATAAATATGTGTGATACGTTAGCGAACCTTGTATCATTACGTATCTCAACTGGGAGGCGGTTCGTAGATATAAAACTTCATTACAGAGTATATATAAGATGTGTTTTCTTTAAAACACTTTCCATACGTCATGCTCACATGTGTTTGATAATTTATTGAAGAGTTTTCGGCTTTTGGTGTTATTTGTTGTATTCGATGATATCTCTGATGATATTTGTTGTTTGTTTACAGTTCTGAATGTCTGCCGCTTCCTGTAATGTCTGAACAAGGCCTTTAACATCCACCTGGAAGGAAACATTTATTTTGTTACGCCTTAACCACAACTATGGATACAGAAACCGGAATAGAGACCCCCACAGAACAGGGTTATTATGTGACGATCAATCCCCCTCTTTTAAACGCCAGTGATTCAACGGATGGAGGTAGTACTATTGGTCATACTCCATTAAAAGTTCCGATCTATCTCCAGGCTATCCTCATCACCATGTATTCGGCAATTATAATTCTATCGGTGGGAGGAAACTTAACTGTGTGTTTTATAGTGTTTCGGGCAAGGCGCATGCGCACTGTGATGAATTTTTTTATTGTAAGTCTTGCTATGAGTGATCTGTTGATGGCCATTTTGTGCATCCCCTTTACGTTTGTTGCCAATCTCGTTTTGAATTATTGGCCTTTTGGTGACCTGTTGTGTCCCATTGTCACATTCCTCCAATCCGTGACAGTTTTCCTCAGCTCTTTTACTCTTGTCGCTATAAGTATGGATCGCTATATCGCTATCATTTACCCACTTCGACAAAAAATGTCCAAAAAACAAGCGTTTATCGTAATCGCTTTGATTTGGTGTGTAGCTTTCCTAATACCCATACCAACAGCCCTGTTTTCTTGGACACACAAATATGTCAATGTATCAACAGCCCCGAAATTCTGTCAAGAAATGTTTGCGAATCCCGAAGATAAACGTTTGTACGGAACAATGATCATGTTACTTCAGTACTTCATACCCCTGCTTATACTGATGTTTACGTATGGCCGGATCAGTACTGTCATGTGGATAGACAGAACGCCAGGGGAGGCCATGACAACACGTGACCAACGGATGACCGAATCCAAGAGGAAGGTGAGTAGTTCAGTGTGCTGTTATCACCTAATGCTTTTTATTACATCCGTCCATAATCCAAAGGATTTTCTCCGCTTTAGATACTAAGAACATTATCAAATTATACCCATTATATACTTCTAACAGTTCCTAAACATCTCAACTAAGAGTCAGTTAAGCTTCAAATATTTGACATCAGTTCTGTTTTGTATTTTCATTAAATGAGCTGTGATGAATATATCGTAATGCTGGTGCTATTTCCTGATATTATTGCTTTCTAGAAGCATTTTTAAGTTGATATTTAATTAAGAAAAGAACCCTTAATTTTGCCTCGGGAGTAACACTGGCCTTGAAATTACCCCTTTTAATTGATTACGTTGTTTACTACCTGGTCCTAATGCGAACATTTTTGTTACGTAATTGCAAGAAATATTATGCAATAAATAATAGCGTTAACACGGAGGCCAAACAAAGACACTTTGTTCACGGTCATTTTTCACAGCAGTGTAGGATCACTTCGAAAACACCAAGAAAATTCCAAGATGTACGACTTTGCCTTGACTTATAGGTAGGAGTTTGATAGTTAAACTAATTTCAGCAGAATTTATGAAATACGCCAGTTTTCACAGAATGTATCAAATTCAACTATTTTGAAAAAAAAAAACAACATGAAATGCTTCCATCTTCGTAGATTGAATGTGATATATAATTCCTGTATGATAACAAGAAGAACGTATGTTTGTATCATTGAACAAAGTTACCTACACTTATCAACTGTTACGTGGCATATTCCGACAAATATTGACACAAAACCATTCATTTCCCTATACCATAGCCAGGAATGGATAGGAAGGCTGAAGATCTTTCAAGTTTGATTGATAAAGGATTTTTGTAATTTGGTTTCTTGATTCAGTGTTTAATTGAATTGTATAATAATGTTAACCGTGGTAGAATTGTTTCATAATAGAGATTTATATATATTGGAACTGGACTTAATGATAATGGATTCCACTAAAGAACAATTCTTCAAACTTTAGATGAACAAAACGCAGAATATATTTGATTGTTCCTAGAGATTCCCAAACATTCTACCAAGATTCCCAAACATTCCACCATGTTCGTTTCCGAAGAGCCATGACTATGTCAAGCAATATGAGTTTGTACGACAGCACTTAAGGTTCGGGAACAGTTTTAATCAGACCTCAGGATTATTCCCCGTATTTGACACGTCTGCTAAAAAAATGTCTTGGTAATCGTTATTATTGCGCAGCTGTTATCCAAATTAATAACTGAAATGATACTGAAATGATCTACATAGCTGTTACAAAAGTTATGAAAATGTTAAATATACTTAAAGACTAATATTCAACATATTAAGCCAATAATTATTTATTTGAAATCTCCTATCCTGATATTAACTGCGAGACATCTGTTTCTCCCCGTGTGGCTATTAAAGTCACCTTCCAGACAAACTAGTACAGTTTTTGAAAGACAAGAGTAAATCTTTTGGGGTTTTCCTTTCAATCATCTTTCAAACAAGCTATGTTTTCAGTATGTGTGCCTTACCTTCCCGGCTGCCAGTTAGAAATAAAACGGAATGTACAGTTCGCTACAGACAACCCGTGGCTATGTGACTAAACTATAGTATGGCGTCTCACATCAGCTTAATTACCGACACTAAAACCGCTTTAAGATTTCATATTTGATATGCTTCTCCACATCAACGTCATGATCGGGGTCGTTGAGAACGTTACCGTGTGTTAGAGCCCTCCGAACAGATTGTGTTTTATCTTGTTAACATAATACCGGAAGAAATTATTCTAGAAACTTGTATATTCAATGATACGTATTCATTATGTGTTGTTTTCTCCTGGATGAAATGATGCTCAATATTTGAGTCATGTCTAAAATCCCCCTTTCACGTTCCAAACATCTACTAAATGGAGATTGCTAAGATTTTTACTTCCGTTTCCAACATGAAGAGCGTTCTTTTACAGAGTTGAATTACCTATTAGCTGTCTCGCCATCGGTTAACAGGCTTTATGCTTCCGTCAGATTACACTTACAATGTTAAAACAACCATTTTAAACATCCATTACGTCATTTATCTTTCTACCTGAATAAATAATTACACCCGTCCAAGCAAATGGTGCCAGGACAACATTTGTCAGCGATAACCGTCCAATTATTGAGAACATTATTGCTTACATAGGACTGTAGTAATTCCAGCTGAATATATGAACCATAACCTTTTTATGTATTGGATTCCAATATTCAAACCATTGATAGAATAATTATACAATCTATTAAACGAATAATAGGAGGTTTCAACCAGAACTCACAAACAAAACTAATCATTAAAACGAGTGTACTGTGTGTGCAGAGGAATTTTCAGCATGGTTACCTCAGGATCGGTGCAATGAGGCCAAGATCAAATGCTTTGATTCCTCAACCAACGACAACTTACATGAAAATGACAAAACATATCAAAATAATGTTAGTATCACAGGCAACACCTTGGACAATATCAAAGCCGTTAGACGTATTAACAAACACTGAACACGTCAAACTTCTCATTGCAGAACGAAATATGTTTAAAAAATCATGCTGATGAACTTAAACCTCCACTAATAATCGTCACCAACCCACCTTACTCATAAATCTTAGCTGGGAGATGAAAATGCAGTTGGTTTGGGACGAGAAAATCAGTTCACATACTAAACAGCTTAGATGTAAGTTGTCTCAGAAAAGTAAGGAAAGATCGCTGTAAGGGGCTGAAAGAGATAAGAAGGAAGTGCTTTAACTTTAAACTCTTGACAGCACATTTGATCGACTTGTGCCTTATTTAGGCTTAACATCGAAAATACGGAAATTTGCAACATACTTTTCACCTCGTCTGTATGAGACCTTATCGAATTAACCGATTTCATCCACAATTTCTTCTCCTGCATTTGTACAAAAATTTGTTCTGATATCGAAACTGCAATCTTGTTCGGTATTTGTGATAAGAAAACTCTTGTAAGTTGACACTTCAGCGTCCTTGAAATAACGTAATTTTACCCGTCAAATAATGTTTGCAGGAACGATGATTCAAGATGGAACAAAAAATCAGTATTTCTTCGAATTGCATATCCTTTTAGCATGCAATATCAGACTCCGAATTAACAGGACAAAGAACGGTAGAATTAACATGTCAAATCAAGGAATCCAACAGAACAGAGGCAGCTCCATTCCCTTATCAGCAACTACAACTGAAGAATGGTATGGTTGTATTTCGCCACAGTAAAATATGAAGTGTTTAAATGTTTCATTGGTAATCATCCAAACCTAATTCTCTCAGCAAGAGGGAAATAGGTTTTTTTACCGACGGGTAACGTTATTACATGCCTTTGTCCGTTAATGAAATCACATGCCTGCCATTAATATCTTTTCCTGACATTAGAAATATTCTGGATACGAGGAGACTTTTCCTTTTTTACTTACAAAAACATGTCGAATGCATAAAAATACATAATTTTGTCGATATTCATACTTTGACAAAGATGCACCTATTGACCGATTTTATTTCAACTAAAAAGTGTAATTAGTATTTACCTTAAAAATGCTTGTGGTACCTTCCATGTAAATCTAACGATATAATGCATGGGTAACTATCATTGTTGGCTAAACGATATGGATGTCATTGTATTTACATTTTGTTGGTAAATCTCGAACTATTGCCTAACCGTTTCGTAAATAACCTCGTAGGTTTCCAGTGCCCTCTGTTTAGCAGTACGGGAAATATTTATTATTTTAAGCATAAACGTCTGTCACTACCAGTGGTGCTGGCTTTGTCGGGCGTCATTGCAGGGATATTTGACAAATCATTTACTTCTCGTGTGGGTTTCGTTTCCGCTTCGTAAACTTAATTGCTCATTTGAGCCAGTTCAAAGAAGTGTGTGCCAACTAATCAAAGCCCCACCAGACAATGAGTGCTATATTCACCAATAGATGACTATCCCATGTCAACATGGTCAGCAAGGTACAGTTGACTTGATCTTGATGACTCTGTCATTATACATGTTCATCTAACCAGTGGACCTATCGAAACAGGCTATGTTATCAGGAAAATAGAAAACCTGTTTTAAGAATTTGTTTGGAAAGAATATCTTTAACACATTGGTGATAAAATCACAGTAGTAATAATTGTATTACCCATAGCGAAAAGTTAAATAGCATTCGATGATTATTACACCTATAAACATTGGTTATCACGTGGTTTGGACATTTGTTCATAATTGGTGGCCATGGTAAAATCGATTTTAGTGAAACGAGAACCCCCATAATGACCGATACCGTAGGACTAGGAAATTATAGCACCGACTGCAATGCATAGGCAACATTATCTTTATTGTATGTCAACAATGGAGATTTCTCTACAAATTTTATGATAAACAATTTCAAAAATGATGACAATATCTGGACCAGATACAATCTAATGCCGACAAGAACATAATTTCGCAACCTGAAAGGTAAATTTCAAGTGAGTATCTTTATCAATAGACCCGTTGCCAGTAATACACTAAATGTTATTATGAAGTCCAGTTTAGAAAATTGGAATAGTGATATGCTTAGAATCTTGACGATGCTTTATGTAATCGTATTTCATTGTATTTTAGAATTCATGTACGAAACAAAAAATATATCTTGATAAATCCCATATCAAATATACGTGGTTTGCTGCTATTTATAAATTGTTATTGTGTACAAGAAGAATGTTTGCATTTTCCTGCTATTTACAATTATAATTTTTACATTCAGCGGAGATTTCAGTGTGGTATCATTAGTATAAACGGTAATAGATATGTAGAATATATATATATATACTATATACCCATTAGTGTTTTATTGAACTACGTCATTGTGATTTCCAACTTTCGGTTGTATAATACTTGAACTCTTTATATTTTTTACGGGAAAAAAATCCGGACCACTCACACTATCAGTTATCACAAAGACAAAGTCTATCCCAAATGGGTTTG